TTGGGGTGCTGGGGCGGGGTGCGGGGGGCAGGATCAGGCCACGGAGAAGCGGATTTGGGGATCCTCGCTTTCTCTGTGGGGCAAACCTGAGCCCCTCGCGTTGCCCAGGCGGTGGGGTGGCTCTGCCCGGGCGCGAGGACCTGTGCCGGTGTCCCGCGGTGGTCGGGCCCTGCCAAGGTTCACGTGCGGAAACCGCATTAGAAGTCCCATGTGAGATAAAACATGCTGGGGCAGGAAGCTGACGGCGAGCGGTGGAACACCCCGATGTGTACGTACGCTGTCAGAGCAGACACAAAAGGGGCCAAATCCACCCTGGGACCAGCTCCCTGCGTGCTCCGAACGCGGCTGCCGGGCAGGAGGCTGAGCGGGCAGGAGCTGTGCCGCGGCAGCGCCGGGCACGGTGATGCACAGAGACCGAGCTTAGCACAGCTGGATCTCTCCCCTTGTTGGCTTTGGCCCGGAGCACGGCTGGGCCCAAGTTTCGGAGAATACATCCTCTTGTTCTCTTCCCCCTGCTTTTCCAGCTGGATGCTGCAGGCTCCGCTTCCCGGCTGAACTCTTACGCTGCTTTGTGCTGCAGCCGTGTCCCGGGGCCGAGGCAGCTGCAGGGGCTGTGCGGAGCTTGTTTCTCTGGATTTTCTTCCATTTGCTTTCCTCTCCAGGTGGGAAACGGTGAACTGTTAATGCATGGACCTAGTGCAAAGAAGCTTTTACATGGGAACTTGCCACCAGCCTGGGTTGGGGGAGCGCTGTGCACCAGCTACTGTAAGAACGAGTGTGGGTTGTTTTAAAAAGTAGTTTAGAAATCAGTTAAATGCGTTGGAAAAAAAAGGCCTTGCAGCTTTTCTGCGTTCCTGGCCGCTGGCCACGCAGGAGCGGTGTGTAGGTAGAGCATGGTTCAGCCTCCTGGTTGTACTGGTGTCCTGAGCGGGAGCGGTGGGACCCAGCTGAGGTGGGCAGCATCTGGGAGCCCAGGGGCATCCGTGAGCGCCCGATGTGGGGTGCCCATGGTGGAGGGGTGTCACCTCCATCCCAAACCAGCCCCAAACCCACCCTCCTCTTCCCCAGCTCCTCCTGGAGGGGAGCGTGGACCCGGGGTGGGCGAACCCGAGCAGAGCTGGACCAAATTCGCCTCCTTTAGACCCCCCTTTCGCAGCGTGCAAAGCTGGGGGGGCAAAGGGGTCTCCAAGACACCCTCGATTTCCATCTGCCCAGGCTCCAGGGGCCAAACTTCATGCTGAGAGACTCCCTCGTCCTGTCTCGGAGAGCAGCTTTCTGGTTGCACGTCTTGAGCTTTGAATTCTTGCTCACAAAACTTCTTTCTTTCTTTGTTTTTGGTTTTTTGGTGAGCAATGAATGGACAGGGTCTGGTTTGTCTTCTGTGCTCGTTTGGCCTCGTGACGTTTCGGTGCAGAGCCATTATCGCTTGGGCAGCGTCCAGGGGCTCTGTCACGCACCACGGAGCCTGGGAATTTTTGCTCGACTCCCTTTCTGATGCTTTGCAAATTAGACCAGATAATTTGGTAATGCCGAAGCCTGTGAAATAAATGGGGAAGCTGAGGTGCCTGAGTGGTTTGGCCCACGTTAGTGCGTCGTGGGCAGGGTCTGGTTGGCATTGCCGTGCTTGGTCCTATTTCCCAGCCTGAGACGCAGCCCTTTTCCCAGAGTTTGTTCCTTGGCATCTCTGGAGATGGGCCCGGTGCCATCGCAGCCTCCTCCTGTCCGGGAGGGACGGGCACGTTGCAGACCAAGCCCTTGAAATAGCCACAGGTAGTTTGCAGAGGAGCCTCGGAGAGAAGAGGCAATTGTCTGCCTGTGTGGAGTACCTGGGGTGTATTTTTTTTCCCTCAGGAATTAGCAGAAAACAGGAGAAAAACAGAAAGCCCTTTGGCTGATGAGATTATTTTTGTCCTTCCTTACCTTCATGGGGAGGAAGAGGAGGGGGAACAGGGACGGCGGGAGGGGGCTTTCCTTGTGGGAAGCAAACCCATATAAAGATGCTTGAGGCAAATCCATCTCCAGAAGAAAAACCTTTCCCTCGGGTTCGACTCTGCTCACTCCCACCTCCCTTCTTTCCCTTCCCAGCAGGACATCTGCTGCGTGGGGCCACCGCCGCATCCCCCTCCGTGTCCCCTCGCCATGTCTGTGGCCCGTGTCTGCGTCCTGGCTTGGCCGCAGGCGCCGGCAGCTCGGCGGCTCTTTGCTTGGAGCTGGGACGCTCACGCACACGCGCTTTTTTTCCTTTAATTCTTTCTGCCTGTTCCCAAGGAGTTTGCCCCGAGGTGCGACAGCAGGCGGAAAGCTGTTGTGTGCTGCAGCCCCAGCAACGCAGCCTGCAGAGCTGCAAGCGGCTCTGCTCCGCTCGCCCAAAGTACCGGGGTCCGGCTGCCTGCACGAGGGTGCTGCCGCCCTGCTTGGGGTCCTGAGCACCCACGGATGCCCCGAGCTGGGGAGACTGGGCAGGAGTCGGTGCCACCATCCCTCGGGCACCCATTACTGGGACTCTGTCCTGCCCTGGGAGGGGGGCAGAAACAAAGGCAACCCCCTCCAAGGTGAAAATAAAAGGGTCTTCGCTTGTCTTAGCACTGATTTTAGTGAAACTAGTTGCAGGTTGCACACAGGCATCCTGTAAGTGCGAAGGAGCAGGAAAAAAAAAGCCTTAAAATAAACAAATTTTTTTTTTTTTACCCCAGATAAAGACTTTTTGCACCAGAAGATTCATTTCTGGTTTTCTTTCAAAGTTTTTCATCTGGTCATGAAAATGCTTTTTTTCTTTTCTTTAAACAACAACAACAACAAAACAACTCCAAAAAACCGAAAAAAGGCAGATTTCTGGCTTTTTTCAAATGTTGCTGGTTTTGAGCAAAACAAAGCAGGCCCTTCGGGGCTGTGCCGCTTGCCACCCCGGCGTCCCGCTCCCGCTCCAGCTCCTTATTGAATTTCCTTGGAAAGCGCCTGCTCGAGTCTATTAGTTGCAGAAACCCAAGCTGTCCTCCGGGCGTTTGCTGTAGTTTTCCTGATTTTTCCCAGAGCTCCGCCTTGCTTGGGCCGTGCCCCGTGCAGCCTCCTGCGGGACGGGCACCGGGAGCCCCCCGGGGCTGCGGGTTTGGCGTGGGATGGAGCCACGTTGGTCCTTCCCGGTGCCAGCAGCCCCTTCCCGCGTCCCCCCCGGTGCTGCGCTCGGGTTGTGCTGGTGGAAATGAGCTATTGCAGAGCAGCAGGGATTGGGCAATGGGGACTTTTTTTCCCCGAATCCCAATCTTCAGGCTTTGCCCACTGCAATTGCATGCATGCGCGCTTTTGCTCATCTCCATTTGACCTTCAGGCGGGCTTTGGCAGCCCCGTTGAACTTGATATTTGACCTGGGGGGGAAGGTCCCCCGCCTTGCTCCAGTGCCGTCCCGCTGTCTTTCCACGGGTGCATCCCCGGCTCTGCGACAGGGCAGCTCAGGGAGCGGGCAGTAGCTTCGGGAAGCGCTTTCACCCCAGTCCCATCCTTTTTTTGGGGCGCT